TCATCGTAGCTTTTCAATGTCCCATTCTGTTGTAAGCTGTTTAGAGCATTTCTCCGAGTTTTTTTTTTTTTAATTTTTAAAAAGAAGTCTTTTATTGTGTCCATTTTCTTTTCTTTATTCAAGCAAGCAAACAAACACATGAGCAAATATTCTTTTCAGGACCGACCGTTATAATTATTAGTAGCTGCTTCAATCTGTAATCTGCTATAGAGTATGTTTGTACGATTGAAGAAATTTTGAAATAAATTTGACTCGATGAGCTTATCTTTAATCAATCAAACAGGCGAACAAACAAACAAACAAACAAGCAAGTAAACCAACCAACCAACAATTCAACAAACAAGCAAGTAAACCAACCAACCAACCAACAATTCAACAAAAAAGCAAATAAACAAACAAACACTGTTTCCGTGGACTATCGTTACTTGTATTGTCTTCTTCTTCTTCTTCTCGATTGTACAACACTTGAAGTCTGGTTGGTATCTGTCATACATTGGGCCGTCCTGCTCAGTTTCATCTGTCGGCCCGTCGTATAGCTTCTCTTGTAGCGTCAGTGGGGTTGGCCACGTTTCCTGTCTCAGGGCCTTGTGTGTCTTACTTGTATTGAATGTGATACATTATGCTACATACTGTTTAAAGTATTTCTGTTCGTGTGTTTTTCCAGTAGCTTTTTATTTAATTATGTGGGTGTGTTCCCTGAACTTATATTAAAAACAAAACAAACAAACAAACAAGAAACAAATAAACAGACAAACAATATTCTTTTCACGTCTCAGTCTCAGTAGAGATATTTATCGGGTTTGCTGTCAGAAAAAAACGTTCCACTAAACTTTTAAAGTTTTTTTAGTTTTAGTAAAAGTTTTACGGCACTTGCAACACGATAAGGTGAAATAAGTGCCGAAGATTAGAGGTGTTACAAGAGAGTAACAAACACACACAAAAAAAGGATTTGAGATAAAAAAAAACGAAAGACGTTTGATAGGAAAGAAGAAGCAAACCACACCACCACCACCACCACAACAACAACAACATCAACAACAACACAAAACCACTACCACGCACAGCAGCAACAACAACACGTATTACTATAAAGACAACAACAACAACAAGAACAACACCTTCACCACCGCCAACAACTACCACAACAACGACAACAACAACAATAACAACAACAACAATAACTACTACTACTACTACTACTACTACTACTACTACTAC